TATTGTATATGCAGGTATCCACCTGAAGCACCAGAACTTCAAATCAGAAAAATGGCTGACTTATGTTTTTTGGTGCAACATTATGATTTGGCTTACAGTTGCTATCATACTGCAAAGAAGGATTTTCTTAATGATCAAGCAATGCTTTATGCAGCTGGTGCCTTGGTTGGTATTTATTTTTTTATTTTTGCTTTGTGGGGAATTTAACCCAGGGCCTCATACATTTTAGACAAGCGCTTTACCACTGAGCTACGTCCCCAGCCCTTGTTTGCATTTTAAGAAAATAAAAACTAAATGCCTATATTTTGATGTATACAGACTTCCTCTCCAGAGAAGTACACCTCTAGCCTTGCATAGCATTGGGCTCAGTGCAGACTACACTTTTTCCCATGTTCACCCTACATAGTAGTTTTGCCTGTTAGGAGGTCCTTTTCTTTGTCTCCATCTCTGCCAGGATTTACATGTTGGTATTTTTTATATTCCCCAAGATGACCTCCAGTCATGCTAAGCTGCCTTTCTAGATTATGTAGGTCACCCTCCAACATGCCATTAAACAATTTTGCTAGTGCTTTGATTACACAGATGAATAGGCCTCAGAAGGACTGTCCTAACCATATTTTTCTGAGGTTTATTACTCTTAGGGCAGCTTGTACAACCCCAGTTATTTTCAGGTATGCATATATCATGTTATAGTAGACATGCCTTTATTTTTTACTGCTAATCTATTTCTTTCATATAGCTGCTATCTCTATAGCTTAGAGGTAATATTTATCAGATAATAGATAAAATTGGAAAAAAGATACAGTCATACGTTGCACAACAAGGTTTAAGTGTACTATGTTGGTGTCATATAAGCATATTGCTTTAAAAAATTATACCACCTAGTAGTATTGTAAACCCATTATGCTGCCCATAGTATAAGGAAACACGTGAGTGCAATTTCTCAAAACGTATCCTTGCCATTAAATGATGCATGACTATATTGTCTTTGTATAATTCCATCATTGGTCTGTTCTGTGCTCTTGGAAAAACTGGGAGGAGGTGTACCTGAAATCTTAAGCTAAGTTCACTTGTTGTTTTATTTACACCAAAAACCAAAGTTAACTAGGTCTTCTTGGAAATCTCATTTAAATATTTAATTAAAGACTTGAATTTGACTGGAGAATTTTAAGATGAAAGCATATAAATATATTTTTTGAGTCTGCTTTAAGCTATGCAATTTATTTATATGTACAATAAGAAATTCTAATAAATTTCATTCTAATTTTTGAGCTTCCTGAATGCTAAATTATAAGACTTTTTCTCCTTTTGAAATGGTATACATTTTGTCTTCTCCCTTAGGAAATGGCAGCAGTGTCAGCTTTTCTTCAACCAGGAGCGCCCAGGCCATACCCTGCTCATTACATGGATACAGCAATTCAAACATATAGGGATATCTGCAGGTAGGTGACTATAATATTTATATTTTGCCCATTTAGAGGTAAATGTAATAGTTTTTAAAAAAATTTATATTTTGACATTTATATTTTTAATTATAAATAGTTCTTTTTGTTTTTCATGCTTTAGACTCTCAAGTTAATGTAGTGAGACAAATTGAGGTGAAAAAAATTAATATTTTATTACTACGTCTTTCCTATTTGGTTTTGATTAGGAATGTTTAGCTTATGTTATATTAAGGGTGCATTATATTGTAGGGACATTTCTGAACATACCTACTATTAAGCCAGGAATTAGCTATTTTGAATTTTCCTTATTAATTAAGAGTTAAGTAACAGTCCAGGGTAGGGTAGAGGTGGGTGGTGGACATGAAAAGTATTTTGAATGCACAGTACTATTTAAAGTATTTTGAATACACAGTATTATTAGAAGGAGATTATGAACAAGCCCAAAAGTGGTGAGAGGAGGTTTCTTGGGATATTTGATGAGTAGAATTTGAAAGAAAGGTAGCTGGGATGTGATAGCCATAAAGGCATGTCTGGAATTGTGATTTTTAGAAATAATGTTGTGGTTGCATCATTATTAGTGAAAGGATATAGAGCTCTGTCTAGGTCAAAGCAATTATATATTTGGAAAGTGTTGACTGATAAATTTGGAAAAAGGGTTTGATATAAATTAGTGTGAGGAGGGTTTATCATTTATTATGATTATTCTTAAGCTGTAATTAAGATGTATATAGTAGTAAATGGGAGATTATTGAGTAGAGCCTTGACATTATAAAAGTTATTTTTCAGAATGATCAATCTGACATTTCTTTTCCTTGTAGTGCTGGGGATCAAACCCAGGGCCTTGCTTGCTCATTTTAGGCAAACATTCTACAACTGAGCTACACCCTAGCTCCTTTATTTTTCTGTTGTAGAATGGATGCATTGGGGAAGAGAGAGATATGAAAGCCATTTTGAGTCCTATAATGTTTATCAAGTAGAAGTAGTAATTGTAATAGCAATATGTGTACAATATAGCAACATTCCTATTTTTTAAAAGTTAATGTTTAATTGAGTGTTTGGTACCTCAACTCACTATGTCCAAGTAATTTACACTTCATTTAATCATTAAAACAAACCTATGGTGTTATTTCTGCTTTATAAACAAGGAAATGGAAACTTCAAAAATTTAATTTACCCAAGGGTATAAAGCTAATTAGTGGTAGAACCACTATCAAATCCTACCTTTTATACATTATAATCTATTCAATAACATATTTATAGATTTTAGCAGAAGATATTGTAGCCCTGTGAAAAAGGAACTACTAAAAGGGAGTGAGAGGAGAGATTCTAAAGGCAGAACTAGTACAGTGAACTACCAGAGAAACCAGAATAGTGAAAGTTTCAAGAAGTTTGAATATTTGTTCTCTGAAAAGATCTTCCTTGTCTTTATGAAGTATAGAACTTGTGGAGATACGCATGTAGAATGCCGCAAAAGAAAAGACTGTGTAGTGACCTAGATAAATGTTGGCAATCCTTTCCACAACAGTCTATATGTGTTTCTGAATCCCTATTTACTGTTATGCATTATTTACCTTATAATCCTCATTCTAAATTGTCATAATTGATAAGATTTGTCAGCAGTTTAGTAGTTGGGATAAATTAGAAACATTGTATCAATTACATGTAGCAATTTTAAGAAGCTCCCTGATCTTGGAAATATTAAAATGTAAATAAATTTTCTTCAAATACAGTCAGCACAATATTTAGCATTGCAATGCCCTCTTAGAATTCTGTGTTCCACTTTTGAATTGATGAGATTCTATTTCTCTTATAAGACTTTTCTTGAATTTTTTCTTTTGGCTACTGGGGATTAAACCCAGGGTAAAAGCATGTGCTGGTGCACACCTATAATCCCAGTGTTTCGGTATGTTGAGGCAGTAGGATTGCTAGTTCAAAGCCAGCCTCAGCAACAGCAAGGTGCTAAGCAACTAAAACCCTGTCTCTATAAATAAAATACAAAATAGGGCTGGGGACATGGGCTCAGTGGTCGAGTTCCCCTAGTTCAATCCTCAGTACCTTCCTCCCCCCAAAAAAGGCATGTGCTGTATTACTGAGGTATACCCCCTACCCTTAATTTTTTTCTTTCATGAAGCCATCCTTCTCTCTCCTCAAAACACAATAAAAATCAGTTATTGTCTGTTTATTCTCTTTTGTATCAGTTTCTACTTTTAATATAGAATTGTGTCCTAGAAATATTTGAATTCTCAGCACTTCACTCTGCTGATACAATGTTTTGTTTTGCTTTTTTGTGTGTGTGTGCAAATTAAAAAAAATTGCTTGAATTGACAGATTATTTTAATAAAGTCCTGGACTTGTAGCCATTGGCAAAATGGGTAAGAAATAAAAAATAAATAAAAATAATAGTGTTAAGACCTGAGAGATTTTATAAAATTTATTTAAGAAAACTAAGTATTATATATGAGCAATACTGGTAAATAGAAATTAAGTCTTTTTTTTTTTTTTTTAAAGAGAGAGGTGAGAGAGAGAGAATTTTTAATATTTATTTTTTAGTTTTTGGCGGACACAACATCTTTGTTTGTACATGGTGCTGAGGATCGAACCTGGGCCGCACGCATGCCAGGCGAGCGCGCTACCGCTTGAGCCACATCCCCAGCCCTAAGTCTTTTTTACTTATTAATAATCTTAGGTATTTATAAATTCTAACCCTATATATAAAAAATTATATTTTGTAGAAAGTTTGACAGATCACCACAAATAATTTGAGGCTAGTAAATTTTATTCTAAAAATATTGTTCACAGTGGCATTCCATAGTGGGTTTGAGTTAATAATCTTTGGTTGTTATTTTAAAGTCAAGTAAAATTCTGATATAAGGAATAGAAGTTAAAAGAAAAATCTTTTGCTGTTATTTTCCAAAGAAGTACTCAGCCTTGTCATTTCACAGAAAAAATGTTTTCATTTAGTTTATTGTTTTTGAAAATGAATAATCTAATTCTAGATTTCTGATATAGAAGTCCACAAAGAAAAACCAACTGATGAGGTATTTTTACCAAAAAAAAAAAAAAAAAAAAAAAAAAGTTTGACTCGGATCACTCAGGCAACTCTGGTCCTTCGCTGTCTCCAGTTTAAACACATTATGGTGGTACTACCATAAGGAAAATGTCTAAATAGTCCTATAAGTAGCCAGAAAATGAAACAAAAGTAACTAGAGTTTGCAGTGAGAACCAAAAAAACCAAAAACAACAACAACAACAAAAAATATTGTTGACATGCTTATATTCTTTTGTGTTCAAATCAGTTTTTGTTAACTGGCTATTCATTCATAGTTACCAAGTAAATTCTAGCTTTTTTACCCACAGGAATGGTAATTTTGCATTGTATTCTTACTACAAAAATTTGTGATTAATAAAAGTTAGATGAGTTATGGGAATTTTCTGTATTTTTTTTAACACTTTTTTGATATGTGGGTAATAAGGATGTAGACTGTTTTTACTCAGAGTTTATAATTGTAATATTTTGCTGAATATGTTAACTTTGACGTGCTAAGGTATTGTTATTGCTGATTATATTTTTCTCATTTTTCTTTAGGAATATGGTATTGGCTGAAAGATGTGTATTGCTTAGTGCCGAAATTCTAAAAAGCCAAAGCAAATATTCAGAAGCTGCAGCTCTCCTAATACGGTTGACTAGTGAGGTACTGAAACTGTGTAACATTTGATTTAATATACATTATTTTGTAAGCATGTATCTTTTTTCATGAGAAGGTGTACAAAACATAAAATTCGGAGCAGCATCCTTTTGGGATTTATAACATAGCTTTTTAAGTTATTTGTTGAATTAATTTTAAGTATAATTTTTATAAATTGAATTTATTTTATTTAGACATTTTAACTCCACACTATATTATTATTAACCACAAATATGTATTGGGCATCTCCTATGACTTAGGTTCTATCTTATATGTAATGGTTTTTAAAACAACATGTATGTGCATCATTCCTCAACTTTAAAACAATAGCCACTGAAGAATTTTCAATCTTGTTTACAATTAGTATGAATTTTTTTTTGGTTCTGGGGATTGAACCCAGGGGCGTTTCACTACGGAACCACATTCCCAGGCCTTTTTATTTTTTATTTTGAAACAGGGTCTCACTGAGTTGCTTAGGGCCTCACTAAGTTGCCGAGGCTGGCTTGGAACTTGTGATTCTCCTACCTCAGCCTCTTGAATCGCTGGGATTATAGGCATGTGCCACCGCACCCGGCTAGTATGAACTTTTAAAGAAAATCATCTTAATCGTTTATAAAATTTTATTATGAATATTTCAAAACTGAGAAATGTAACCCATTTATAGTTGCTATTGAAGGTTATACAATAGAATTATTGAATTGCTTTCACCATAGATGTGTAAAGAACGGTAGTATTCTTTTGTAGGTATGGTTAAAGACATTTTGTAGAATACTCAAGAACAAAGGAACATAATCAAATATGTATTTTACCCCTTAAATTATCACTGTTCTGTTTTCACTCTATACAGTTTTAGGACAATCTTATTCACAGTTGTGATTTTCACGCTCAACCTATTCCAAATCCTGCTATAAAACTTGGCTTGTTCTGTTGTATTATATTGGAAGTTATATCTAAGCTGTTAGCTTCTTGAATTTTAGATTATTTTGGCCACTTTAAAAATGACATATCTACTTAAATGTTTTCAAGACATCTTAAGTTAAAATATCAAGAAATTCAAAATTTTTTTTTGTGTGTTTGTGTGTGTGTGTGTGTTTTGATGCAGAACTGGGAACAGAACCCAGGGCCTCTTGTAGGCTTGCAGTCTAGGTCAATACTTTACCAGTGAACTATCATCTCAGCCCTAAATTTGAAATTTCATATCTGATGTTATCACCAGCAAACTCTGTTTGTTCTAGCAGAAACTGCTTGAAGTACTCCTGTATTCATGCTTCCTGTTAGTAACACAGTGGTGTGTGTGGGTGGGTGGGGGGTTGTTTCATTTTCTTAAATATATTTTTGATTTTATCTCAAAATAGTTTACTAATCTCCTACTCCTCCAAGTCCTAGTTCTCATCCTTAATATCTTTTATCTGGACTAGGACTTTTTTCCTTTTGCTTTACTAAATTTACTTGTTCTTCATTAGTCCTTTATTAGTCATGTCTTTCAGATAGTCTTTCCCACTACCATAGGTCTCCTTTCTGCTCTCTCACATAGTGCTATAAAACTTGGCTTGTTCTGTTGTATTATATTGGAAGTTATATCTAAGCTGTTAGCTGCTTGACGGCAGGGAATTGGGCTGCCCTCTATATTTTTATCCCTGGTAACTAACACTTGTCTTGGCACATGGTACTCTACAAATGTTTGTTCACCTGAATTAGTAAGTCCTTTCTAAGAAGAGGGGTTTGAATGTGTTGCTGTGTTTTTCACACTAGGGATATCAGTGAATATAAAAATTAATGGTCCAGGAGCTTGAATAGAATTTTTTTTCTTGCTTAAATGTTTTTAATTGCCTTTCTACCTGCATATGTAAATAAAATTTCTTTTTTTGGTACCGGGGGTTGAACTCAGTCAGGGGTACTTGACCACTGAGCCATGCCCCCAGTCCTTTTTTGTATTTTATTTAGAGACAGTGTCTTACTGAGTTGCTTATTAGTGCCTCTCCATTGCTGAAGCTGGCTTTGAACTCACGATTCTCCTGTCTCAGCCTCTTGAGCCTCTGGGATTATAGGCGTGCTCCACTGTGCCCTGCTAAATAAAATTTCTTTAGAGTAAATTCTTCTGCCTGCATTTTAGCCTTGTTATTTTCTGTTGTTCTCTTCAACTCTTGTTTTCAATTTTTTTTCTCAAGTCCATGTGATTTATTTTGTCATGAAAGTCTAGAAAATGTATCACTGTCATTTACTGCTGTAGGGTAGTGGGTGGGAGCAGGTACTTTGATGCATTTTGCGAGAAGTTGTGATTTACAGTGGCTTGTTCTGCTATAGTTCTCATATTTTTTTTGTGACAAAAATAAAGATTACTAGGCATAATGTGTATAAAATTAATATTAAATCTTAACTAGTAATTTATGTAATGGCACACTTTGCTATCTGTGTGTATTTTATTAACTAGAAAGGCTATATTATATCTTGAAAAACATACTTGTCTCAAGAATAGAGAATATACTCAAGAATAGAGAATACTGTTGATATAATTGAATTGTGTTCCCTAAATTTTTGCCAGTACCAAATGACAGCTATAAGACTGGGTGAAAAAGTTATGCTTTGAGTTGATTTTTTTAGAACTGCAAATTTATGGACAGATTATTGTTTTATGCTTTGGGATTCTCAGAATGGCAGTGCACAGCCTAGTCTAATGGGGGAAAAAAATCACGTTTACCACCATGTAGCATAATATATCCAAATTTGGTATTTTGAGACATCCCTACTATTTGTCACTACATTTAAATATCTTACTTTTTTTGTGTGTGTGTGGCACTGGGGATTGAACCCAAGGCTTCACACGTGCCAGGGAAGTGCTTACTACTGAACTATATATTCCGAACTACATTTAAATATGATAAACCAGTTTTAGACATAGTAATGAAAGTTTTTTGGGAGGGTGCCGAGGATTGAACTCGGGGGTGCTTGGCCACTGAGTCACATTTCCAGCCCTATTTTGTATTTTATTTAGAGACTGGGTCTCACTGAGTTGCTTAGCACCCCACCATTGCTGAGGCTGGCTTTGAACTAGTGATTCTCATGTCTCAGCGTCAGGAGACATGGGATTACAGGCATGTGCCACCATGCCTGGCAGAAGTTTTTTTTAAATAAGTTTTTTTCATCTTGGAAGCAACTGTTCCTGTTGGAAATTGATCAGCTGATAGTACCTTCCCAGTAACTTCACAATTATGTGAAGAAAAAAAAACTTAAAATATTAGATCCATTATGTGTTTGAAATTTGATTCTATGCAGTAGCTGCAACAGATGCCTTTATCAACTTTTTTTAAATATATTTTTTAGTTGTAGTTGGACACAATACCTTATTTTTTGTTTTTATTTTTATGTGGTGCTGAGGATTAAACCCCAGCACCCTCGCACGTGCTAGGTGAGCGCTCTACTACTGAGCCACAGCTTTAGCCCTCAACTGGTTTTATGGAAATATTTATTGAGGTCTTTTTTTTAGTCTCTTTTAAAGTTGCTATAATATTACCATAGACTAGGTAATTTATAAACAGTATGAGTTTATTTGGCTTATGGTTCTGGAAAAAGGGAAGTTTGTGGCACTGGTACCTGGTGAGGGTCTTCCTGCTGCCTCATTCCAAGGTGAAAAGCAGAAAGGCAAGGGAGTATGGGAGCAAGAGGAAAAGAGAGGGCTGAATTCACTTTTATGACGAATCTAATTTCCCAGTCACCCATACCTGTGATAATGACATTAATTCATTTATAGGGCCTCTTGTGACTGAATGACCATTTTTATTAGGTTCCACATCATATCACTGTTGTAGCAAGTATTAAATTTTCAACATGTGAACTTAAGGAGATGGGGGATACATTCCAACTATAATAAAGTCTATGCTTCAGATTTTTTTTTTCAATACATATCCTCATATTTTAAGTTACCGTTGCCTTTTCAGATTTTGTTAAAATTATCTCTTGACTGTGGCAAAATTTTCCTACGCTGAAATTCTTGCCAAAATGATATCACAGGTTTCTTTTTCTTAGTTCCTCATATTGCACATATGCTAGTCTTACAGATATGAACTATTTTAAAACTTTATTTTTCAATTCATTCAAAGCCTCCACTTTCTAGATAAAATCATCCTTTGTAAAAATCCTTTGATTTCTCATCCATCAATATCAACGACAGACTTTTTTTTAGGCCCATTTTATCTTTTCAGAACAATGTTTTTACTATTTTGGGTGTCACTATAAGAGAAGCTAATGAAGACTAGAGCTAAAGTGAGATATGAAAGTAGGGTATTCAGCATTGCAAACTGATTCTTTCTCAGTCAATAGTCTGTTGAATGTAAGAGTCAAAATTTTGTTTCAGCTAAATTAATATCTGATGTGGACTTGCAGGTCTGTCTTGAATTGGTTAGTTTTTGAGTGTTAAATTTGAGAATTCTTGGGTTTATTATTGCTAGTTCTCAACTGGATTATATTAGAATCATCTAAAAACCATCACGGACACCTAGGGCATATTCCTTATTTATTTATAATGAACAGGATTCTTGTCTGTCCTACTTTTGCAAATGAGGCTTTATAGGAAATTAAAAATAGATATATATATATATTTATGCTTTCTGTGCACATATTCATATGTTAAGAATAAACATATAGAACTTAAAGAAAAACTGTGAAACTGTTGAAACCTAAACAAAGTTCTGAAATAAAAATGTTAATTAGAGGGAATTACATCTTCTAGATATTAGAATGTATTAATGAGGCTACAGAAGTTAAAACTGTTTACATTTGATAGGAATAGACACATTATGGTATAGGATTGGAATTTCGTACTGCATATGATTTAAGATATCATTTAAAAATCAGTGGAGAAAGCTAGGTTATTTATAAATGGTATTGTGACATCAGACAAGCTATTTTGGTTGGATTCCTATTTGTTTTTTATATGATAACATATAAAAAAGAAACCAGTATAATACAAAAGATACACAACACACACACACGTTATTTATCTTGAAGAAAATACTAAGAGAACATTTTTTAAAATCTGGTAGTGATAATATCCTTTCTTAGTTTGATGCAATATCTTGAAACTATAAAAAGCAGAAATAGTGCACTTTACTACAAAAGAGTAAACTCTTTCTTGTTAAAACTGGGAAATAATATTTGTAAAATGTATGATAAAAAACTAAAATTGATAAGTATCCAAAGGGCTGTGACAAATATGAAAATCCATTTACAAAAAGATAGTAACAGGCAATGCACAGGAAAAATACCAAGGCTCCCTAAATGTATAAAATGATTAATAGCCTTACTATTATAGGAATATATGTTAAGGAGCAGAGGTGTCATTTTTCTTTTATTAGACAAAAATTTTTAGAAAGAGTTTTTGACTTAGTGAAGTGAAAATGTGAACTCTTGTTGATGAGAGTATATAATGGTACACTTTTTTTGGTAGCAGTTTGGCTGCATTGGTCCAAATTTGAAATATATGCATGGCTTTCATAAACTTAGTGGTTCTACTTCCAGAAATCGATCTAGTAAAAATGTTTGAGTAATTAATCAAAATGTTTTTATAAAGATACTTATTAATTATTTTTTAGTAACAAAATGAAATAATAATTTGGGCTATATTAAGTTATGGCACATTTATATAATAGAATACAGTGTAGATTTAAAAGACATGAGAGATGTAGATGTTTTGGAAAGATGTCCATGATATTAAGTGAATGAACCCAAATATGTATTAAAAATGTGTAGTTTTAAAAATATATATATTAGGCATATACATATACATATACATATACATATACATATACATATACATATATGGAGAAAGATACACACACACTAAAGCTATGAATAGTTGTTATCTCTGGCAAATGAGATAAAGCATGGGATGGGAAAGAAAGACGTTCACTGTTTTCTTTAAACATTCTTTAGCCGGGCATGGTGGTGCACGCCTGTAATCCCAGCTACTTGGGAGGCTGAGGCAGGAGGATCACAAGTTCCAGGCCAGCCTCAGCAACTTAGTGAGGCCTTAAGCAACTTAGCGAGGCCTTAAGCAACTTAGTGAGACCCTGTCTCAAAATAAAAATAAATAGATAGATAAATAAATAAATAAAAGGACTGGGCATATGGCTCAGTGGTTAAGTGCCACTGGGTTAAATCCCCAGTAGCACCCTCACCCCCCTAAAAAAAAAAAATCTTTGAAAAAATATATTTTAATAATTCTTTTAAAGTAATGATTTTCCTTAAAATAAAATTTATTCCCAAGATACCCCAAGTCATTCTGATGCAAATTTTTTGTTAAGAATCATTCCTGATTAAGAATCAATTTCTGATTTTTCTACTTAATAGATTGGATATTAATTTCTTAGAGAAAACTTTTATCTGATTGTTTAGTTTTTTTGATGAGGGGTTTGAAGTAATAATAGCTGCCAGTTATTGAATACAATCTAGGTGGATTCCTTAAATGTGTTTAAACTCTAATATTTTAGGATTGCTACAGAGCTAGTTTATAATAATGGTCTGTGAACACTTTTTGATGTAACTATAATTTGTTTAAATTATTGCATTTAAAGTCAATGTTTTCTGTTTTCAACTTTCCCTGGGGAAAATAATGGCAGCAGAACACATGGAAGGGCATGGTAAGTTCAGCTTGAGACTAGCTGAAAACCTAGAGAAAGTTTCGGTGAAAACGTTGTTGATACTGAATCAGCAACCTTCAGCACTTTCTCAATTCTTTATAAAGTGATGACTTATTTAAAAGGTTGTTTTTATATAGTGATTATGTTAATATAGTGTGCAGTTTTTGTAGTCATTGTGTTTGTAAGGGTCAGTTGAAGCAGAAACTGATTTGAGTTGTACTATTTGCTAATGTATGATTGGTAGGTGAAGAGAGACTATTTGAAGATCTTCATGACTTTTTAATGAAAAGCAGTCATTTAACCCTCTCAAATTATAGCAAAAATTGAGGATTCCTTTAAATACAAGAAAACTACAGAGAATAAAATAGTAGATAAGATTATTTTGTAATCTGTGTACATTCATTTGTATCTTTTTTTATCTTGGATAGATAGAAATATGCCATGTCACAGACTAATTTCTGGAAGAAATTAGAGTGGTCTAAGTCCATTTTTTCTATACTTTTGTTATTTTACTTTATATTTAACCAGTATAGCTGTATAAGATTCCCAGTTTCTGCCCCTTTTTTGGGGGCATTTGGGAAGAGATTACAGTTCTTCAGAGATTTGTTACATGGTACATATTATTATCAGGCATCTGCTTACGCAAAGCAAAATAATTCATGGTGAAAGTTTTGGGTTTTGGCTTTTTAAGTGAAATTTGTGCTTTTTGGAAGAAAACAAACAAAATTGATTTGCCCCTTTATCTCAGTCCTCATATATTCTTAAGTTAAACTTTGGATATGCTATTTGCTAAGAGCGTAAATGTTTGTTTTTTAACCAGTTATCTTTGAATTTTGTGAAACTAACCATTGTTTCTTCTAAACATTCAATAGGATTCTGATCTTCGAAGTGCACTTCTTTTGGAACAGGCAGCACATTGCTTTATAAACATGAAGAGTCCCATGGTTAGAAAATATGCATTTCATATGATATTGGCAGGCCATCGGTTTAGTAAAGCAGGACAGGTGAGTGTATTTTCTTTAAAACGAAAAGGTTCTATTTATTTATTTTAAAACATGTCATTTGTCAATTTTTTATGATTTAAAATTAATCATAAAAGCTGAAATAAAACTTTGTTCTGAATTATTCTGTTGGTAAAAGTATAGCATTTGGGGCTGGAGCTACAGTTCAGTGGTAGAACACTTGCCTCGAAGGTGTGAGGCCTGGGTTCGATCCTCAGCACCACATAAAAATAAACAAATAAATAAATAAAGATATCATGTCCATCTACAACTTAAAAAAAAAAAAAGTATGGGTTTGGATTTAGACAAATATGGGCTTAGATCTTATTCTGTTCACAGTTTGACTTTGGCCAAGTTGCTTATCTTCTCTGAACCTGTTATTTTATTTATAAAATTTTGCAATTTTACCCAAATTTTTAATGAGGCTAAATGAAATTGTATATGTTAAGGGCCAGATACACTGTGCATTCAAGAAGGGCTGAATGTTCCCTTCTTGAACCTCTGGTCTTCTTTTGTATTTGAGAATGCTTTATAATGGTTATTGACTAAATTTCTAATGTGTAGAGTTCTGTTTCTTGTCTCTCAAAGCATTTGAGTTGGAGGGATCTTTATTTATACTGAGAGATTTCTATATCCCTAGTTGGAGAGAGCTTTGCTGGAGGGTGAGTAGCATTGAGATAATGGTTTACTGTAAGTATAAATAGAGATGCGTATTGAATAATAATCTCTATATTACAGGAACCAGTAATTGAACATATACCCATAAAATCAACATGGTGTTGCCTTTTAAGGAGTTTTCTATCTAGTAGAGGGGAATAGGATTTTTAAAAATTTAGTTAATACTGTAAGTTTTTGGTGGTACTGGGGATTGCATTCAGGGACTCACATGTGTTAGGTAAATGCTCTACCACTGAGTTACATTCTCAGTCTTAATATGTTTTAATGAACATACTTAACATTTTTACAAGTCTTTGTTAACAAAACTTGCCAGTGCTGTAAATGTTATTTCAAAGGTACAAAGAGGGCTGGGATTGTGGCTCAGTGGTAGAATACTTGCCTAGCATATATGAGGCCCTGGGTTCAATCCTCAGCATCACATAAAAATAAACAAATAAAATAAAGGTATTTTGTCAATGTACAATTAAAAAAAATATATATATATATATATTTAAAAAAGGTGCGAAGAAAGATATTTAAAAATTCCTCTCAATTTTATGTGAAAGTTTTCTCTCTCTTTTTTTTTTTTTTTTTACTTTGTACTAGGGATTGAACCAGGTCACTTCACCACTGACCTATATACTCAGTCCTTTTTATTTTAAGATGGTCTTACTAAGTTGCTGAGACTCTCACTATGTTGTGGAGGCTGGTCTTGAAATTGGAATCATCCCTCCTCAGCCTCCCAAGTTGCTAGAACTACAGGTGTACACAAAAAACTTGGCAAATTTTTCTAATTTTTAGTAAGCAACAGGTTTTTTTTTTTTTTTTTGGTACCAGGGATTGAACCAGAGATACTTAACCATTGAATCACATCCTCATCCCTGCTTTTTAAAAAATATTTATTTTTTAGTTGTAATTGGATACAATACCTTTATTTTATTTATTTATTTTTATGTGGTACTGAGGATCAAACCCAGGTCCTTGCACCTGCTATGCGAGTGCTCTACCATTGAGCCATCATCCTAGCACATCAGCCCTTTTTTATATTTATTTAGAGACGGATCTCACTGAGTTGCTTAGGCCCTCGCTGAATTGCTGAGGTTGGCTTTGAACTTGCATTGCTCCTGCCTCAGCTTCCTGAGGTGCTGGGATTACAGGCATGTGCTACCACGCCCAGCAATAAACAACATTTTTATATTGGGTTCCTCCTCTATTTTTGGAGCCTGTGAAAAAGTAGGAAATATGTGGACTTATTGTATTTAAATAAAAAAACCTTTAAAATGTTTGCATAAAATTAATTTTATAAAAATTGATATACTTCATCAATTAGAATTTCTCAGACTCTAAAGTGGGGAAAAAACATTAAAAACAAACTTATTTTTCATGATCCTACTTCTATAGTAAGTGAAAATGCCTCTGAAATACATAGTAAGTGAAAATGCTTCTGAAACACATTCTACTGTTTGTCTTTGAAAGTTTTGTATTTTAAAAATGATGAATTAATAATATTAAGCATGTAATCTTTGTTTAGGAAAAAATATGTCTTTTTCTATGTATGTGTCCACTTTTGTGAATATTTTTATTTGTGAGAATGGTAGTGTCATTGGAACAGTTGCTTGTTTTTATCTTCTCAAATTATAGGGTTTGTTGCTTCTAGGAAATGCCTAGCAAGTTAAAATGCTAGATTTGTGTAGGTTGAGATATTTTGCTATGTGACTTTATAATATCTAACTGTAGTTACCTTACCCTGTGGAGTTAATGATTCCAAGTTGTCTGGGTTTGTTGTTTTATGCCACACTGTATACTCCAAACCCAGAAAAACTCTTTCAAACACAGTCTGTGGAACCTGAGAGTATGACTAGGAATAAGGATCTGCTGGATTAGCCAATGTGTGCCCTATTGAAGTTAGTCAAGAACATTATTTTCCTTAGAAGACAGAGCACATGGATTACATAATTTTGACTAAGACCATCTTATTTCTGAGAAACACTAACTTTTCATATTTCCGCTGAAAACCCAGGGTGTGTAGGTAGGCATAAGTGAGGAGGAGAGAAGAGATTACCTAGTAATGCCATTTCTCTTAGTCCTGTCTCTGCTTGAATGTTTTTCCTGAATTCTTTGTCTTGCTCAGGGACTGTTTATTCTGAGTATTAGCAAGTCCGGGTGTTTAAAAAAAAGAACTGGCATTATGAAAGTTTAGTCAGTGAAAAATGTTTAGGAAAGTGCTGAGGAAGGTGGATATGATTTTTAAGTATAACCTGGACTATTTTACTTTCTGTTTTTACTTTAAAAGATAGATTTTAAGACCGGTGCTGTGGTGCACACCTGTAATCCCAGTGGCTTGCAAGGCTGAGGCAGGAGGATCGTGAGTTCAAAGCCAGCCTCAGCAAAAGTGAGGTGCTAATGAACTCAGTGAAACCCTGTCTCTAAATAAAATGCAAAATAGGGCTGGGGATATGGCTCAGTGGTTGAGTTCCCCTGAGTTCAATCCCCAGTAAACTCCCTGCCTCCTACCAAAAAATAAAGACAGATTTTAAATCTTTTTTTTTTTTTTAATATTTATTCTTAAGTTTTAGGTGGACACAGTATCTTTATTTTACATTTATATGGTGCTAAGGATTGAGCCCAGTGCCTTCTGCATGCTAGGCGGGCACTCTACTACAACCCCAGCTCCAGATTTTAAATCTTTATTTAAAAATTTTAAATGTTTTTAGATACTTTTCCAAGAAATTTTAAAAAATGCACTTGAACTGGACACTTACGCATTTTCAGTTGTTTTCTATATCAGTGTTTACAATTGTGTTGCTTTACCAAATGCTCATGGAGATTAGCTTGTTTTTTTCTTCCAAGAAATATTATTTAAAAATTAGTTTGAAACAATTTCAAACTTAGAAAAAAATTGCAAGTTCAGTTCAGAAATTGTTTATCTGCACCAAATCAAGAAATTGGCAATGATACGGTGCTCATATCTAATCCTCAGACCCCATTTATGGTTTTTTTAAAATATGTTTTTTAGTTGTAGATGAACACAATACCTTTATTTTATTTATTTTTATGTGGTGCTGAGGATCAAACCCAGTGCCCCACTCATGCTAGGCAAACACTCTACCACTGAGCTACAGCCCTGGCCCCCCCATTCATGTTTTGATCATTGTACCCCAAGTATCCTTTACTAAAAGACACAGGATCTTTTGTCCTTTTTTACTCAAAGAATTCCTTAACTTCATGAACTTGTCACTTTTGAAGATCATAGGCCAATTTTGTAGCATGTCCATCAAATTAGGTTTTCCTGGTATTTTTTTTTTCATTAGATTCATTTCAAGTGGGTATCTTTATGGAAATGTCACAAAAGAGACACTATTTTGAATGCTATCAGGTGGCAGGTGATTTGGCTTTGATTTCATTAACAATCCAGTCAGTATTTCTTAAAAAGCCCACAAAGACATCTCTGACTATAATTAGTACAAAGTTTATAATTCCAGTTTTGAAAAGCAGTAAATACAAGAGTGTGCTGTGAGCCAGATACAGTGGCACACACCTATAATCTCAACTTGGGAGGCTGAGGCAGGAGGATGGCAAGTTTGAGGCTAACCTTGGTGATGTAGACCCTGTCTCAAAATTTTAAAAGATGAAAAGGACTGGGGATGTAGCTCAGTGGTACAGTATCACTGGGGTTCAATCCTCAGTACCACCTCCCTCCCTCTTAAAAAAAAAAAAACTTATACACATACACACACTCTGAAACAAAGATTTAGCGGACAGAAAAGCCTCTTTTGTTACCAAATCTCATTTGATATGAAGTCTTGTTGTGTTGCCTAGGCTGGCCTCAAACTCATGATCCTTCTGTCTCAGCCTTCCAAGTAGGTGGGATCATATAGGTATGCACCACTGTGCCAGACTTCCATTGTTTTAAGCGAAGGTTCTCTCAATTCAAAGGGTAGCAGTAATGGATAATTAATACCAAATATTTTCTCTTGGTTGTTATGGGGTGCAGTGATAGGCCAAAAAAAAGAATACCAAAGTGTCACTACCAAACACTAAAACAATAGTGTAAAAGTGTGTGTGTGTGTGTGTCACACACACATTTACACTGTATACTTGTAGTTGTAGCACAGACTAGGTATTTCTACTAAGCCTAATGCAGTGATATGAAGAGGGATAGTCATAGTAGAATTAGATTTCATAGGTAATAGTTACAAGCTGGCAACCCTGACCCTAATCTATGATTCCATATGCTTCTGCTTTGGAGATTTCTGGAGTTTTCCACAAAGTTTGTATCATGCCTGACATCTTAGATTTCTTGTCTTCAGTCAGACAAAGCAGGTGCTTCCTTGCTTTAGGACTTT